GTGGGATCTTACACTGGGCCCTCACCCCTGCCTTTGGCAAGCCCTGCAGAATCTCTTTAAGGGATTAAAATGGGCTGGGCTCTGCCGGCTCCTTAGTAAAGCCTGCTACCTCAGCTCCCACCTGCCTGTGTGCCTTGAAGAGTCCAGGCCTCTCCCCTTCAGTCTCCCTGCCAAGCACAGGCCCCTGGGAGCCAACAAGATGGGGTCCATGCTTGGGGTTGCTGGGTCTTTCAGATCTCTCAGGAGCTGAAGTCACATCCACTGGTCTGAGTATCTGAAGCTCTTTTTTGTCATCACCTTAACATTAAGACACAAAAATGAGGAAAAATTTATTTTGACCTTGTGAATGCAGTTTGTTGGATAAAATCATGGGGCAGAAGGTGGGAATTACAATGAGACAAGGGAGCTTCCAGCTCAAATGAATCAAGGACTTGTGTGATGATGGTCAGGGAGACTGGGTTAGATGTCTGGGGTGGACACAGGCTGCACTGAGTACCTGGATCCCATGTGAGCCGTGGCATGAAGCACCTGCATGGCCATGAGGTAGAGCTGGGAAGCATGTGGCTGTGGCTTAGCTGACACCTCTTGGGATTTCTGAAAATCTACACAAGGATCAGCTGGAGGGGGCTGGTCACATTGAAGGAAATGCCCACCACCACATATCCCGGGCAAACTGGAAAGTTTTCTAGAATGAATGGGTGAAGGATTGGGCCCATGGGCCATGTTGTTGGAAATTGTGGCATACAAGATGTCATCTCGAGACAGTTAGATCCTGGATTTGTTGGGTCCCATAGCTTGGCTCTCTGGAGTACTTGCCGTCCTCTACAGTTTAATCTGCAAACGATGTCTATGTACCCTCAGGACTGGGCACTGGGCCATCAACATAACACAAGCGCTCTCAGTGTGGCTTATAACCATAGCTTTGATGCTTCTGCTGATCCATAGAAGGAGAGGGGCAGATGCTGCCTGGGCTGGAAAGAGGTCGAGCAGACTTGCAAGATGAGAAGTTGGGAGGACACAGGAATCACATGCATGTGCAAAGACTTGGTGCACGAAAGAGTGTGGTTTGTTTGGGGCATGGGGCATGTGGTTCAGTGAAGCCAGGAGGGGCGGGAAATGAAGATGGGTTGGGAACAGCATAAAGGCTCAGAATTTGGGAGGTGGACTAGAACCTTGGATACTGAAGTGTTGGTAGCCTTCACTCTGACCAGATAATGTTAATTTATGATAACAGTTTTTGTGGCTGAACAATAAATAGCAAGGTTCATTTTTCCCTTAGTAAGTATGTATTGATTACCTTCTATGCATGAGACATTCCCTAGGCCTGGGCTACAGCCCACTGTGCCAACACAGAGCTCCCCCAGCCCATCCCAGGTCTCCAGTCATCAACACAGGATTGATGTTAGGAGACCGCTTAAGGGGATTCCTGATAAATGTGGAGGCAATCGAGGAAGACCTATCTGAGAAAGTGACATTTGAAATATATGAGGCGCTGAGGGATGCCTTGCAGACAGAAAGAGCAACATGGGCACGGCCCCAGTGTTGTTAGGAACACAGCGTGGCAGGAGTGTGGTGTGGGGAGGGACTGGAGCAGATGTTGGCATTCCCACAGCAGGAGCCCTGTCCTGTGCAGAATGCTATGAGGGCTAGGGGTCACTGCCCAGAGCCTGCCACTCAGGGAGCCTCACGGCCCTGGAGTGGTCTCTACTAGTCACACCACTTATCTCACTGTGGCCTGTGTCCCAGGAGACATAGAGAATCCAAGATAAGTTCACATTTCCTCTTATCATGTCTGGCCTGACCTCTCCCAGGTTCACTTTCTAATGACCAGCAGCCTCAGCCAGGTTTCGAGCCTCTGAGGGTACTTCAGCAGCGCTCTGGGCCTCAGTCGCCTCGGGGAGAGACTGGAGGCTCTCTTGTCACTCCCATCACACAGATGAGGACATGGAGACCCAGAGGGGACAAAGACCCTGCCTGAGGTCACCCAGCCACAGACAGCCATGCTGAGAGACCAGTTCTGGCCTTCACAGGCGCTGGGGGTGAGGGCAGTGTTTCTTCTCTTACACATTTTGAATAGATGGGCTTCACTATTGTGATCTAGGGCCAAAAAGCCTACCGAAAATTTTGCTTCTTTGGGATTTAGCCCAAATAAATCCTTTCCTGAAAATCCTCAGTGAGTACAGTCTACTGAGCCCTGCAGATGCCACTGGCTTCAACCAGCTGCTCTCAACACCTAGTCCTAGGGGGGGGGGGGCGGGGAGGGAAGGCTGCCCCTGAGTTAGTCAGTGAACCAGCCCCACCTCCCCCCAGAAGCACTAGAGCAGCAGAATTGCCCCCTTCCCCCCCATCCAGCTCCCTCTTAGTCAGCGGACACCAATGGGAACCAGGCCAGCCCTGGGTCTGGCCGCTCTTCAGCAGCTTTAGCTTCTGGGCTGGAGCCTGTGTAATCACTCCCTTTTTACAAGGAGGAAACCACAGCTACACAACTGGTAAACCATTGAGCTGGGATTTGTCTGGTTCCATACTTCTGGACTCTCCCTGCTAAAGGAATGAATCTCAAATGGTAGAATTCCAAGCAAGTGGGGAGCCGCCGATTCAAGGCAGGCATTGTTCCCGCATTTGAGGTGGTGACAGGTGTTACACCCTTCCCACAAGGAATGAATGGGAAAGTGCTTTGTGCCTGCCAAGGGCTGTGGCACTATAGAACGGGGACTGGAGTCCAGAGAGGAGGCAGCGGCTTACCTAAGGAAGCCAGTCTGTCTGCCCTCTAGGCCCCTCCTATTCTAACACTGGAACAAACCCCTGCAGCTCCAGGCAGGATGATGTGGGGCCCAGTGGTCAGCACAGGCCCCAGCAGGGGAGGGAGGGAGGCACTGTAGAACAAATGTGGCTGCAGTTCATCCTCTGGGAACCCTGGGCAAATTATCTAACCTTTCCGAACCCCATCTGTAAAATAGTAACAACTGTATCCTTACAACACATACTCACTAACAAAAGCACATGGCCATGAAGAGCTCCAGACCCTGAGCCATCCTGCTATTCTATCGGTTCTCAGACAGTGTAACGCATTGCATGGTGGTTCTGTTGACCTGACTGCCCCCACCACCACCACCACACCACTATTGTTCTCCTAGCCCAGAGAATGCCTACCCTCTGCCCAAGCACGGAGTTCTCATGTTGAGGAGTCAGATTGTGGGTGCATCTTTCTGGATGGGCTCCCTGCATTTCCTCAAGGCCTGAACAGGACTGGGGAAGGATGGACAGAATAGTGGAAAGTGAGTGCTCCTGGCTCTGAGCTCCCAGTCCATCACAAGGCTTCCAGCATTCTGGCCTTGGTGTTGCCTCTTCTACTACCATGTTTCTTTTTAATCTTATCAGTTTTGAACCAGCCATTTCACATGGTTTCTCTGCTAATGATGGTCTATGCTTTCTTGAATTCCAGGGCCTGGCTTAACCGTTGAATGGATAGGTGGATGGATTTTTTCGTCTAATTTTTTACTTTTAGATCAATATAGATTCACAAGCAATAGTAAGAAATAATACACAGGGAGCATATGTACCCTTTACCCAGTTTTCCTCAATGGTAACATCTTGCAAAACCACAGTACAGTGTCACAACCAGGATATTGACATGCATACAGTCTACAGATCTTGTTCAGATTCTACCTGCTTTAGTAGTTCTTGTGTGTGCTGGCATTTAGTTCTGTGCAATTTTATTTATCTGTGTAGACTCATGTAACCACCACCACATACAAGATGGAAAGCAATTCCATCTCCACAAGGATCCCTCTTGTTGCCCTTGGATAAACACATTCACTTCCCTTCCGCTTGCCCCCTGCCCTTCCAACCACTAGTCTGTTCTCCATCTTTATAATTTGGCCATTTTAAGACTGTTACATAAATGGAATCTTACAGTATATAACTTCTTGGGATTTGTTCACTCAGCACAATCCCCTTGAGATTCATGTACATTGTTGCATTTATCAGTAGGTCATTTTTCTGCTGAGAAATATTCCACGGCATTGGTTATACAGCAATTCAGGTAACCATTCACCCATTGAAGGACATCTAGGTTGTCTCCAATCTTTACTAGTTACGCTAAATTATTGTTTGGTTTTAAGAAGACTTTAGGGATATTTTTTGTTTAAGACCTAAAGTTATCTCAGGGCAGTGATTTCAGGGGTTTACCCAGTCTCCATTGCTCCCAAAAGTCTGGAGTCCAGGAGAATTTGAACTGCTGGTCTACAGTACCTTTTTGATCAGGATTTGTCATGTGTTCTATAATATCTAGTTCTGGTCTTATAACAAAGGAAGCAGTTGTTCATGGAGACTGCTAAACGTTCCATGTCTTTCTCCTCTTCCCTGATTCTTCTCCTTTCTCTGATGCTCCAGGTGAACACAGACCAATTTATTGTGCCTTAGATGGCCACTTGCAAGCTTTTAAGACGCCAAAGCACTGAACACATTAGCTTGACGAGGAAGAGGGAGTTGGGCCAGGCACGATGGCACTTTGGGGAAGGCAGGATAGCCGGAGAAGGGGCAGTTAACTGAGTCCCGAAGGATATGCTGCTGTCCAAGCTAGAGGGAACAGTACGTCTCTGAGTGAGCTTAAAGAAAGCAAGGTTCACCTTGATACCTTAGCTGTGATTTTGACCTCTGCTTTACTGTAGCCGCCACCTCAGGGAAGGCTTCACTGAGCTTTTAGATCAGGTCAGGTTCTGTCCCTTTCTTGTACATTTTCCATCTAGCCCCTGACCTAGCTGGGTAGTTGTGTGTAGCTAAAGGTGTCCCCCACCAGACTTGGCCTTGCACAAGGTTGGGCAGGATCTGTGTCTGTCTTGGTCACCACTTCATCTGATCTCCATTCTCTCACACACAAAGCCTTTGCAGGAATGTCTGAGGTCAGAACTAGGATCAGGGTCAGGAGGGGTGTCAAACTTAGAAATGGTTTGAGAGAGTTGGAGGGCCTCACTGACTCCCGTCTTCTCATCCATCTGCAGGTTCATCATGCCTAGTGGCATATAAGAAGACCCCGCCACCAGTCCCTCCACGTACCACATCAAAGCCGTTCATCTCAGTCACAGTTCAGAGCAGCACTGAGTCCGCCCAGGACACCTACCTGGACAGCCAGGACCACAAGAGTGAGGTGACAAGCCAGTCAGGCCTGAGCAACTCATCGGACAGCCTGGACAGCAGTACCCGACCACCCAGCGTGACGCGGGGTGGAGTTGCCCCAGGCCCTGAGGCCCCTGAGCCACCCCCAAAACATGCAGCTTTGAAGAGTGACCAAGGAACACTGACCAGCTCCGAGTCCCACCCTGAGGCCATCCCCAAAAGGAAACTGTCATCAATAGGAATACAAGTAGGGGCTCCTTTTGCTCTCTGTGTCCTCAGTCTCCTCCATGGACCTGCCTGCGTGTAATTACATCTGGTGGGACCCACTAGGTCTCCTGGGTAAATGTGGTTTGTCTCCTTCAGGGGAGGTCAGCCCCAAGTGGCCAAACCAATTTCACCCATAGTCATTTCTTCCTCGCGGTCACCCGTGTGTGCCAGAGTCCGCAGCCTTGGTCCCTTGCTCCGGTTGTTCCTGATGGATCATCCCAGTGAATGTAGTTACACTCAGACAGCCATCTCCTGTCCCCTGTTTGCTTGTCCACTGTCTGTACGTCTACCCTGAGTCCTGCCAGCTGACCCGCAGGAGGCGGGACTGGCCTAACAGTTCTCTAATCCAAGGTCAGCTCGGGCGTGCTTGGCAGCGGGAGCAGCGTGGAGCATAGACAGCGATGGGCCAAGGGCCCAGGACTCAGGGTCCTTGAGCCGTGGGGGTTGCTCAAGGGAAACTTTGCCCAGAGCCCTCTCTCGGGCCTTGGGGACAGGTAGGTAGCTCGAGGCACCAGACCCATGTCAAATTGAAGTGTGATGCCAGTCCTGACACCTCCCTCCACGGGAAAGGGTCCAGGCAAATAGTTTCACAGGAACAAGTGGCCAAAGGCAGCAGACCCTCTTGGAAACAGACTCGCTACACACCTGGTTCCCTGGCAGACAGCAGGGCAGGGCGCCATCTTGACTCTTGACTGCGTCATTGCACCTCCCACCTGCATGGAGCATGATAATCTGTCTTCCATTCGGTGGGCTGGGGAACTCGGGTCCATTGTGTAGTTTTCAAGTATTGCTTCAAATCCAGAGTAAGAGATCCCACCTTACCCTAGGTGGTAACAGCCCTGGAGCCTGCCCAGACTGAAATAGAGCAAAGCAGGGCACTGAGAGGAGGGCAGGACCATAGGCCATGCATTTGGGAAGGTGGATCCCAAACTCAGGGGATCCACCAAGGTCATGCTCACTGTGGCTTGGAGTTGGCAGGGATCACCATTTCCCTACCACCTCTGAGCAAATTGGGCATGGCCAGTTTGATGACAAAGTACTAGAATGCAGGGGAAGATACATGGGACACAGCAGAGGGGGCATTGAATGGAACAGTGGGAGGGAGGGATAACAGAGAAGGCTGGCTGGCCAGTTTCTTGCACTTGCCTGGATTTTTCCTCCAAGACTGGGCTCTGGGCCCAGTCTTCCCATGTGTACAAGAAGAAATTTGGCCAGAAGACCTATTTTCTGGATTGCCTGGCTCCATCTAGCTGGGTTTCTTCTTAAAGGTCCACCCTTTGTCCTGTAGAGCTTCTCCAGGTGGGATTCTTAGGAACAGAGTGGCCTAATCTCTGACCCATGATCCTGACTACCAAGGCCTTTGTTTAGGGTAGCCTCTCCCTGTCTCTGACCAAACCAGATGCTCTTACTTTCTCAGGTAACCATAGAAAGAGTAGAGCCATGTTGATTCCTTTCACCTAGAAAATCACAGTGGGGTCAGGGCTATCTTCCCTGGATACACCCCAGCCTGTTCCATGCTCACATTGTAGTTCCATGGAGGTAATGATACTGCTTTCTGTGGGCTGGCTCTTGCTGAGGGGGAGAGGCAACTACACCGCTGCGGCAAAGAGGAGCCTGGGGTTCAGTCCTACTGCTCCAGAAATCCTCTTTGGCCCTGCTTCTGTCCTTGAAGCCAAAAGGTAGTCCCCACTTTCTGAGGATACCCTGACAGCATTCATCTCTCGGTGCCTCGAGCCCTAGGCCAAGGGTGGGTTCTCCCTCATTCATGAGAGGTGATGGGAGGCACCTTTGTCTCTGGGAAGAAGGCAAACCCGGAGCATCACCTGTTGTCATGTTTCTTTCCACTGCCCAGAACCGTAGAGAAAGAGTGCTATCTTTGAGGTCGACCCTGGCCTTCCCTAGGCTCACCCAGGGCTAAAGGTGACCTCAGCTAAGTGATTGAGGCCAGAACCAGGGACTTCCTGTCCAGGGACTTCACCAACTATTGCCTTGGTGGGAGTTTCCAAATCTAGAGCTGCTGTCCAAGGTCTGCCCTTAATTCAATGCCTCCCACTGCCTCTCCAGGCTTTCAGCCCGAGGGTTAGGGGGATGATCTTTGCCTCAAGACAGCCCCAGCTTCAACTTCACCAGATAACGGCTGTGGCTTTGTATGTGTGTGTGCGTTTTCTTTCTCTTTCGTCGTCGTCCTTTTATTTCTTCTCTCTGATGTATGTAAAGGAGAGGACTAGAAGGAACGGTTCCCACCTCTCGGAGGACAACGGACCCAAAGCGATCGATGTGATGGCACCCTCCTCAGAGTAGGGAAAGCCAGTCATCTCCACCCCACCCCACCACCCGCCCACCTGCCCGCCTCCACGCGAATGAGCAGTGCCCGGCTTAACCTGGTCCGGCCTCGGGCCCACGTGCAGTGTCCGCATGCCTCACGTCTGTCTGTCCACACGTCCGTTTGCGTCGTCCCACTAATGTGAATTTCAGCAGCAAGTGTGGTGTTTGTTTTTTATTTTTGTCTTTGTCTCCGTGCCGTTGCTGTCGTTGTCCTTCAATAAGGTTGACTGCATTCAGCCAGTGCCAAAAGAGGAACCCAGTCCCGCTACCAAATTCCAGTCCATCGGGGTTCAGGTAGAGGACGACTGGCGGTAAGTCGGACAGAGGTGGTGGCTGCTGCTCCCCCTTCCTCTCCCTCCTGCTCTCACCTCTCCTGCACCTTCTCCTCCTGCTCCCCATAACCCAATTCTCCTTGCTGGATTTCTAATAACCAAGCTGGGTTTGGGATGCGGGCGGTGGCCCAAGCATGGGAGGTGGGCAGGTGGGCGGCCACGCAATGATCACTTGCTCTGTGAGATTCATCAACCATGGGCCATGGCTGGGCTGAGATGTGGCCCCAGCTACCCTGGTGTTGGTGGTCTTTCCTAGCCCCACTGCAGTAAACAGCCAACCTTATGACCTTGTCTGTGTGTGTGTGTGCGTGTAGGTGTGGGTGGGTTGGGGCAGGGGCTGAGCCGAGAATGAGACGGGGGCTTTGGGGCCCGCTTCAGGCGCATGGTGAGCAGATGATGCATCCGTTTTTCTGTCTCCGATGTATCCGGGTCTGGGTGGCCTCTGGTCTCTGGCTTTCTTGGTGACTCTCACTCCTTCCTGTCCTTATCCTGCTCCTTCCCAACCCACAGAAGCAGTGCCCCCTCCCACAGCATGTCCTCCCGAAGGGACACCGACTCAGATACCCAAGATGCCAATGATTCGAGCTGTAAGTCGTCTGAGAGGAGCCTCCCGGACTGTACACCACACCCCAACTCCATCAGCATCGATGCTGGCCCCCGACAGGCCCCCAAAATTGCCCAGATCAAGTGCAACCTCTCCTATGGAGACAACAGCGACCCTGCCCTAGAGGCGTCCTCGTTGCCCCCACCAGACCCTTGGCTTGAGATGACCTCCAGTTCCCCAGCAGAGCCAACACAGCCAGGGGCCTGCCGCCGAGATGGCTACTGGTTCTTGAAGCTACTTCAGGCCGAGACAGAGCGGCTGGAAGGCTGGTGCTGCCAGATGGACAAGGAGACCAAAGAGAACAACCTCTCTGAAGAAGGTGGGTACTACATGGCTGGCCCCGTGGGGCAGGGGCTGAAGGGGTGCATGTAGCTAGTTTCCCAGCTTCCTTCTAGCCTGCTTCAGAGCCTCTGAACAGGAAGGTATCCTAGGTTGTCCATTTGTCTACCTTTCCAGAAAGGATTTACAACAAAGCTGCTGGTTATTGCAGTGCAGGCTGGGGCCAGTCACCTGGGTATGAATTTAAGTTCTTTAGCCAAGTTACTCTGAGCCTCATTTTCTCATCTGTAAAGTATGGGTCATACTATTCTCTAACCTCATAAGGTAAGGATATTGTGAAGATTGAATGTGGCAATGAATGTAAAGGGCCTAATACAATGTTTGACACAGGTAGTTGGCACCATGCTTATGGCTTTACCAGCTCCTTACTAAAAGGATCTGTGCCATGCACAAGGGAGATCACTGAGGACTCAACAGGGTGTTGGACCGTACAACTTTTCCACTTAGTCATCTACCTATCCCATGCCTATATCCAAATATTCTCCTGGAAAATTAGTTCAAGATTTAAAAATATGTAGGGAGCCCGAATGTATAGGTGGTTGATAAAAGGGCAGGAGTGGTTTGGAGACCAGTACTTGGGAAGAAAAGCACCAGGTTATTGATTGCTGCAACGTGTACTGACATTGTTCAGCCAATGTGCCAGTTAGCACTTCCTCCACAGAAAGTCCAGGCAGAATGGTGTTGTAGAATGAGATAGACCCAGCATCCCCTGGACACCTGATGATGTAGGACCTGAGGACATTTTAGATGTTTTCACTGTCCTCTGGGCCAGTTCCCAACTCTGATATTACACCTACTGATGCTTAGGGATCTGTTCTTGAGGTATGTGCCTAATAACTTTAACAGTTGTTGATAAGTGCCTTCAAGTCGATTCCGATCCAAACCCATATATGGTTTCTGAGAAGCACCTGGTGAGCTTGAACCACCGACCTTGCAGTTCAAACAGCTTTGCAGTCTGGCTCATTAACCCACAGTGCCACAGGAGTAGTATTAAAAAAAAAAGAAAAGGTAAGGGTCAGAGAGCACTAAAGGCTTCTAACAGAAAATGCCCCAGCCCACTACCCTACCTTACCTTTACTTCACTTTGAACTCTTATTAGTGGTGTATTCTGGCATTTGTGTTTTCATATATATCTTCTTATCTAAAATTTATTTGTCATCGTGTATTGATTTGTTATAATAGATAAGGATTTAGCTCTGTCCCACGATCCCTATATTTATAGCAGTTTTTGGTTAAATAACAGTGTTTCTATTTATATAGTTGGCACATAATTAGTGCCAACTATAGAGCCTCACAAGGAGCTCTGGTAGCGTAGTGGTTACAAATTGGGCTGTGAACCGTAAGGTCAGCAGTTTGAAACTACCAACTGTTCCGCGGGAGAAACATGAGGCTTTCTGCTCCCGTAAAGATTTACAGCCCCGGAAACCCTGTACAGGTCGCTATGAGTCAGAACCGACACCACAGCACATAACAACAACATATAGAGCCTCATAGTATTTATGATTTGATATATTCTATTCTTCCCAGAATGCGTGATTGCCTTAGTTTTCCAAATATAACTAGTCGTCCTTAATTACTAACTTGTTATCCAACATTTCACATTTACAATAACAGTAAAAAAAAAAAATCTACTATACAATATTTTGCATATTATTGAGGTAGCCAGAATGGCAACAATGGCTGTGGAATATCCCCTCCTTCCACAGTCTCAAATGGAAGACCAGGCACCGCTGACCTGTGGATCTACTCTGGGCTCCCAGCTTCTTTGCAGCCTGAGACCCTGTACCTCAGAATTTCTGTGGGGTGGAAAGGGAAGGAAAGGAAAAGGCATTGGAGAGTGTTTGGTAGCAATACTTACGAGTTTAATGACACTTTAAAAATGAGCCAAATTGGATCTGAAGGCTCCATTTCAGTGGTTCCTGGTACACAGCCAGGGCCCTAGCACCTTTGCAGGAACCCCCAAACCTCTGACTGCCAGGCCAGAGGGCAGAGCCCTGGAGGCGTCTCCTCACAGCTCTGACCCAGCACAGGAAAAAGGTGACGTGGTTAAGCCAAGTGCTCTCTAATCACACAGCTCAGCTAGCTCCAGTTTTATGTCCTCTAAGACTTGTCATCAATATATCTTGTTGTTAAGTGCCATCTAGTTAGTTCCGACCCATAGCAACCCTGTATAGGATTTTCTGAGCAGCTGGTGAATTTAACCGCTGACCTTGTGGTCGAGTGCTTATCTGACAATGCTACACTTAGTTGTTATTATTTCTCTGATCATATTTCCTAAGTTAAAAAAATAGTACAGACTTCCTCTTCCTCTGCCTTCGCTCTCAGGCAGAACTCTCCCTGCTCGTCTTCCCCTCCACCTGAATAAAAAAAATCTCTAGTCGGGCCGTGGTGTGCGGTGTGGTTGATGAGCTACGCCAGGTTGTTCTTTTATTGGTGTCAGAAGTGGGATCGCACCTGCGATCATCTTCCCTGGCGCCTTCTCAGCACCCATCACTGGCAGGAGTTAATTCTTCAGCCTTCTGGCTCGGGCGAGTGCTGGAACAGGTCTGTGCTCATGCAGACCAGGAACACCTCACCAATAACAATCACCCAACAGGAGCGGAAGCCGTCCCTGACAGGGACCCCGGGTGGAACTATAACACCCAGGTTGCCGGCACCCCCTGTCCCCTCAAATGACCTTATTGGTCTAGCAGCAGCAGAAGACCTATGAGGAGGCCCTGGCCTGTCTGGCCCAACGCAGATTACCACACAGGAGCCCAGGGTAATTTTCACCATGGCAGGTTAGCTGCATAATTTCCCAGCAAGCTGCTGTTACAAGCTGAAGACCTAAGAATAACTCCTCTAGTTACATGGAAACTGTAGGACCAAGCCTAGTCCAGCTGCTGACCGGGTTCCATCAATTCTTGGTTAATCTCTGGATTGATTTGCCTTGGTATCTCATTGAAGAGCCCAATAAAAACCGACAACCTCGCTGCCCCAATGCCTGCAGGAAGTAGCTACAGAAAAATGACCGTTGTCCCTTCTCCTGTGGGCATAGATCATAGAGATGGCCATTCATTTTTCTTATTTAACCAAAGAGGGAGAAATGTTACAATACCTTCCAGGTTCTTACCTCTCCCTTCCCTTCGGCTCCATTTTGTCTGTTTCCCCACCAAACTAAGCTACAAGGGGCATGGTTTAATAAGCAACATGGCTTTTGATAGGCCAGAGCTAAATCACCCCAGCAATGATGTGTGATCTCCTGATCTGAACCTATATATAAAACCACTCCCTTCCCGTTGATCTCACTTCCTCTTCCTCTGCCTTCGCTTTCGGGCAGAACTCTCCGTGCTCGTCTTCACCCTGAATACAAAAAAATCTCTAGATGGGCCGTCTGGTGTGCGATGTGGTTGATGAGCGACGCCAGGTTGTTTTTTTACACCAGGACTCCTATGCTGGTCTAGAGGGTTGCTAAGAGTTGAAGTCAACTTGATGAAAATGAACTTGGTTTTGGTTTATTTAAGAGATACAACAATTGAATGCAGTACGTTGTTTGGAATGATTTGACCAAATCAGCCATATAAGCACACTTGAAAAACTTTTGGAAAATTGTAATCATAAAGTAAACTTAGGTTATACCAACAAATTATTCATTTTATCTGATGTGATAATGGCATTATGTTTAGAAAAGTACGTGTCATTTTCCCCCCCAAGAGTTAGGTGAAGCAAATGTGATCACTTGAATAACTGGTAAATCTGGATAATGGGTACATAGTTACACACATACTTGAAGATTTTTGTAATAAAAATGGAAGTGTATATTTTAAAAAAAGGACAAATGGATGACCTGAAAACAAAGAATTTTTTTTTTTTTTTTGTCTAAAATGTTCTTCACTTTCTAAATTATGTATTTGTGATTTTTTTCACATTTTACTAGATAGCTAACCTCTCAATTTCGTATTTATCCTGTGTTCTCTGGGCCTGCTGCCCAGCTGCTATCCTGAGACTTCCCCTTTCATCAGCTGGACTGCTTTTCACTGACCACTTTCCTTTGATGGATATGCTGTTTTGTGAGCCACAAATATTCTGCATTCTTGGTTTTAGTCTCTCATTTTGCTGAAGTACATCTTCAATTAGCTTCCTAAAAAGCAACACCTAAAGAGACAGTTTTTTGAAATTTTGCACATCTTTACTCAGACTTTCTACCATTTGATTGGATTTTAAATTCAGAGTTGGAAATAATTTCCCTCAGAATTTTAAAGACTCCATCCAATGTGTTTAACTTCATTACCTGGCAGTTTGAACCCAACCAGTGGCTTTGTGGAAGAAAGACCTAGTGATCTGCTCCTGTAGATGACAGCTGAGAAAATCCTGTGAGGCAGTTCACCTCTGTCACATGGGGTCACTAAGAGTCCAGGTCAACTCGACAGTGCGTTACAATTTTGAACAGTCATTTTCTTACCTCCATTTATTCTGTTTTCTCTTTCTGGAATTCCTCCTCGTGTCAGATGTTGGACTTGTTAAATTAATCCTCAGTTTCTCATCTTCCTTCATATCTGTCTATTGTGTTTCCTGAGAGGTTTTCTTTTCATTCTGTAACAGTTTTTTTTTAAGTTTTTATTTTGAATTGAGTGATAGTTTACATAGGAGAACATGAGTTTACACTCATCATTTCATTGCAATGATTACCATCTCTTCTGTGCATCATCATTCAACAGTATTTACTTCTATTTCCTGTTTTTGTTTTTTTAGCATGGGGGGAATATACACAGAAACATTCAGGAATATATAATCATTTCAGCAACCCAAGGGCACATTCTGCAAGCCTGTCTCCTGGCTGCCAGCACACAGCCTTTCTCTTTCCATGAGTCTAGAGGCCTCAGCTGCTCCCTCTCTCCATGTCTTCATCTCTGCCTCCATCTCTGGTGTCGCTGCTTCTCTGGATAGGGTCCCACATTCTGCTCATGTGCTTCTCCTTTGATGGTCCTTGGTGTGCCTGGA